CCCCTCGAAACCTGGAAAAACCTGCCGAAACCCCACGGTCACGGTTGACGCCGCGAGCTCAAACCTGAATAAGGATGATCTTTTGAAACCTAATTCCATCCTGGTACTATGTATGGAGCCTCTGGGAAAGGAGCCCAGAAGGGAAACCCTGTAAGTACCCTCAAAGGAACCTTATACCGTTAACCCTTAACGCCAATAGGACCGTTACTTCTATTCTCCGTTGTAGTTCCTTTTTTGGTAAACCAACTTTATGGCTTGGATCCTAAAATATAGACTCGGTCCAACAGAAAACGGGGAGCTACAATGGAGACTATTTGGGTAGTTCTCTAAATTAGGATCCCTTTTACGGCCCTTTTTTATAAGGGTGCCGTACTATATTGGGGACCTAAACAGGGGCCCTACTTTAGAGAACTAGCCATTTGTAAAGAGCCCTGCCAGGACCTGGCCAGCCTATGAGCAGATTACCCTAAACCCTAAACCCTAAACCCTAAACCCTAAACCCTGGCCAGCCTATGAGCAGATTAATGGTCCAACGCGCGCTCCGGGAACCGAAGCCGTAGTAGTCCTGGCGTGCGACATTTAGGGGGCCGTGACAAGAGGACGAGGGTTTATGGGTTTAGGGTTTAGGGTTACAGGGTTTAGGGTTTAGGGTTAGAGGGTTAGAGGGGTTTGAGGGTTTAGGGGGCCTTAACAAGTAGACTAAGTTGGAGGGCTTAAAATTAAGTATTAGACTAGGGTTTCGGGGCTTCCTCACCATTATATAGGGTTCAAGGTTTAGGGTACAATTTTGGGGAACCCTAAACCCTAAACCCTGAACCCTGAATTGGGAAAGCTCAGGATGGTATGGCCAAAAAGTCTAGCCAAAATGTCTGAGCAAACACCAGCAGGCACGTTGATCGGAAATTGACCGTTTTCGTGAACACAAAGCCCATCCGTTGAGGAACAACAGGGCCTTGGCAAACCCCCTAACATCTCCGAAGGATCAAAGAGATAAACACTTAAACTCTAAGCTCTAAACCGTCTAAACGCGAAACCCTCAACCCTAAACCCCAAACCCGAAACATTATTTCCGGGGCTGGAGTTTTACGGGCTTTATGGGTTTAGGGGTTTGGGGGTTGGGAGGAGGAGGAGATGCGGTGTGAGCCCAAGTACTTGGGCCGTGCCTCTTCTTCTTGCAGTTTGCGTATGCACGAGCGCTCACTTGGCACTCGTGCTGTCAGCATTGCCAATTGCGTGTTCCGTGTTCCTGAACGCACGTCTTGTCAGCTGCGTGAAAGAATATGAAACCTGATTTCAGGCTTTGTCGACACGAGATGCGATCACCGGTGTGAGCATTCTGCAAGTGAAGGTGCTTGGCAACTCGACGGCGCCGGTACCGGTAGCGCGACTGGTTGCAGCACATTCACCACCAGTTGTTCCTCTTGGTACGACGGTGTTCCCTAAACCCTAAACCCTAAACCCCAAACCCTAAACCCCTAAACCCTAAACCCCTCCGTCTGCGAACAACATCACTCCTTCAGCCACATGGATCGTCTGTGAGGATAGCTCGCCGACTCCACTCGAATGCCACAGGGCGTCAGGGTTTTTTGGGGTTTAGTGTTCAGGGTTTAGGATTTAGGTTTTTGGGGGTTCTAGAGTTTTCGTTAAATGTCTGAGTACCTTACTGGGCTCTTCACGTGGGCTCAGACAACTCGGTCATGGTTGTCCAGTACCCAAAGCCGCAAAAGCGAGAAAATAATGGCCCAAGACCCATAAAAGGCTATTATAATCTTACGTACCCTAAGGGCCCATGTACCCGAATGGGATATGCTTTGGCCCCAATCAAAGCTGGAACCCAAAAGCAGGGAGCTTAAAAACTAAGACTGTCAGTTCCTTAATCCCTGCCGTATACCCTAGACCCTCAGCCTACTCTAAGTACTGCTATGGAATCTTTTATGTATGTATGTATGTATGTA